GGATGAGGAGGAGAATTGGGGCACACCAACCATGGTTGCTGCATTTAAATGTTAATCGCTTAATTCAATAGTAGTGATTGTTTGGAAAATTTAAAAAAATATCAGTATTTAAATTTTGTATTATTTTGGCTATCAATTTCCCAAAACTAGAGTATTCTGTTATGGGTCGCATCATCGAATAGGCCTTATTAATTATTTCTTAGGCCTTTTCATCCCGCTTCCTCTTCTGGGACCAACGAGAGGGGGTGGATGACTAACGGGGCTCGGTTGTGAAGACGTAAGAATATCTTCCGTCCCATCACTCTTATCTTCACTTTGTAATTCAACCTGCAAAAATTAAGAAAATTATATTTTTCAGATGCCAGCTAAAGAAGAATGGGGTAAATGTCTGAATATTTTCACAAGAACTGGAATTTCCCTAACAGTATTGGCACTGTAGATGGAAAACATGTCCAGACAACAGTGATAGTACATCCAGGATCAAAATTCTACCACATCAATCCCTCAAAATGGAACTCCCTCATATCTGACCATGCCCCCGACTATGCGACCTAAGATTGCCTATTCAAAATTGATCTAAACTCTGTTTTTAGTGTTGACGAACGGACAAAAGACCTCAGTGACAATTCAGTGTTCTTCCAAAATATTTCGTACGACTACAACAGAGCGACTGAAGACACACGTGACAAACTTGTACTCAAAGGACTACCACCCAGTTTCCCAGTAGACATCATTAGACAATACATGACCGAACTAAAACTCACAGTATACTACATTACTGAAATGCAGCGACGGGACAATGGACAATTAATTCCCCTTGGACTATTTATCCTAGAAGTTCCCAGGAAAGGCATCACAGAAATTAGACAAAAACTCAAATGCATTCGACACTACAGTATTCGGACTGACAATTACCAGAAAAAAGACCACATCCCCCAATGCAAAAACTGCTTAAAATTATTTCACACTAGGACTTACTGCCGACGCCAGACATTTCGTTCTCACTGTGCCAGTCCTCATCCAATTAAATCATGCCCTCTCTCACAAGCAACAAACCCCACCTATTAATACCTTAACTGTGAAGGAAATCACCTTGCTTACAATCTCTCATGCCATCACATCTCCCATGCACGCCAAGACAACAGATCACCAGTACCACAACCACTTCCCCCATTTCAATACAATCCCCAATCTTTCCCACATCTCAGAATCCCATCACAATCCTATGCTTCCACTTTAAATCAACAATAGCAGAATGAAAACACACCACCGCAATCAATATATTCATCAACATTAAATGACCTCAAAGAACAATTTACTTTCCTAAGGTCATCCAACTTACCCAGAATCCTTCAAAGTATTGAAAGCATCATAGAGATATTCAAAGGTCCAGAGGATATCCTCCAAAAACTCCTCCTAGCAGGCATGAAACTCACAGAATTCGCAATGTAAATGGCACCCTCCTTTCGTTTCCAAACCCATTCCTCGTGGAATGCACGTGGCAGTCGAACCTCAAGAAACCTCTCCTTACCCAATTCGTAAAAGGTCACTCCGATGGGATTATCTCTTTTCAGAAAACATGGTCAAAACCAAATATACCTTTCTCCCAACTACACCACATACCTTAATGACCGCCTCACCCCAAACGGAGGCACGGCTATCCTAATCAGAAGGCCCCATACTGAATTCCAATTCCAAACTACCACTACCTTAGAAAGCTCTGTCGTAATTGTAGGCACTCCTACAACTCCCTTAATAATAATTTCAGCCTACATGAATTCAAATACACCCATACCTGACTCAGGCCTCACTACCCTCCTCAACCTGCCATACCCACACAGACGACTTAAATTCAAAATTCCATCAGTGAGGCTGCCGGACTTACAATGTACCTGGTTATTTAAGAGTTTTAAAATGTTTCGTAGAGAATGCTCGAATTTTTCAGTATTTATGTGGTAATCTCCTTTCATCCACTTGATTTGTGGTTGCATCGGTACTGGCCAGGGGCGGATCCAGCCAAACATATTTGGGTGGGGGGGGCATTGCAGATTTTTGGTAAATAATAAACATTTTCGTTACTATATTGTATGTTATTTATGTACTGTATATACTATACTATATTATTGTTTAAATAATTACATAATTAGAACGTAAACAAATACTTTACAAAATTTGCCAAGTAAAGGAAGGTAAATGAAAAATCTAAGTCTGGGGGCATGGCATGCCTCCCATCCCCCCCTGGATCAGCTAGTGGTACTGGCTAGGTATAGTAAATATTCAATTCTGGAATTTATACACCTTTCCTGGAAATTGTTTATTTCAGTACGGGTGTTTAGGGCATAATTATTTAACACTTCACAAATTAATGTTGGATCACTTACTTACTAGTCTTCACGGCTTTATATTATTGTTTCAAGTTGTTTACTTGTGTAATTGACAATTATTAATAATAACCGTCATGCGAAGATTACTGTTTATATTTGTCGCCCTATTTGTTTTTTTTGGTTTGCTTCTTATTGCAATAACATTCACTTTCAGGCTTTATGCTAACTACAATAACATTTCAATAGCTTCCATTCTTATGACAATAATCGATGCAGGAAGCAACATGTATTTAAAGTTTCTCAATTCATTCTCCTAACATATTGCCATACCGTTTGTAAATGATTGTTTTTTGATCATTGGAACACACAGTAAAATAATTTATGCAGCGCGGCGCGGCGCGGGGTATAGGTTCCAATGATTGTACGAAAGTGGGGGGAAAAGGTTCGCTTGATAATTACGTTTTTTAAACGGTATTTATTATTCAAATGTTTATGATTTAAAAAAAAAAAAAAGAACGTAGATTACTTCATAACACAAAGCAATATCCGACTTTCTTAGCCAGTAATTCCACATTCATTTTTCTAGGACTTAACATTATTGGAGATTATTTTAACATTCTAATACATTTTTTAATAAAATGTTAAGTATTATAACCATTTTAGTTCAACCTGAACCAATAACTGGTACACAAAATAAAAAAGTTGTCAGACCCAAACCGAGAGTATATATACCGAAAGGCTTGTCACATGTTTCTCTAGGTATGTCAATGCGCTGAATCCAAATCTAAAGCCAGAATTGTGCCACCACCCTGCACTTTTTTTAAATCGCAAAAATTTCACAGTGAAATTGAATTTTTATTTTCGGGGGTTGTTGTCAGACTCAAAGACTTGTCATGTTTTTCTATGCATGTCGTTCCACTGAATCCGAAACCAGAATTACGCCACCGCTCTATAGTGTTTTAAAATTGCGAAAAATACATGCGAATAGTAGATTGGTGTCATAGCATTTTTATCTACAGAAGCCACAAGTTGTCAGATCCAAGACTTGACTCATATTTTTTTAATGTATGTCGACGAGCTGTATCCGAAGCCAGAATTGCGTCACCACATTAGTGTTTTTTATAAACTGAAAAAAAAAAGTAAGCAGAATTTACAATTTCATGGTGGTTTCTCGCGATAACAACAAACTCGAGGGTGGTGGTGCAATTCTGGCTTCAGATTCAGTGAGACGACAATATAGAAACATGTGTCAAGTATTTGGGTCAGACAACTTTTTTTTGTGTGCCTTATATAATTAATGTTAACAACTAGATACCCGGGAGGGGTCGGGTAGAAGAATTTATACTCCAGGTTTGATTATTTCATGAGCAGTTTTGTTTGACAATGTTGTAAATCCTCGGGATTTTCATTTCCCTTTCCATAGCCTTCCATCTGCAAAATATTTTTCTCATCACATGATCTATCAGGCTATCTGCAAATTCTCAGACATTTTCATCTCATGGGTTTCTCTGGGGTGCAAATTTGCGTAATGCCTTTGTCGGTTGAACTTTTTAACATACTGCAGTTCTTTCGAACACACTTAACACTTTACCATTGTTAAGGTATCAACAAAAAGAAACATTTCTTCCCAAATCGAAAGAAAATTAACGGGTGTAAATGGGCTCTCATGTAGCCTGAAACATCGGCAAAGGACCACTGCCACAGATTTCGACACCGGCGACAGCCTTCTACTTCTCTCACTCACCCCCACGGCTTCTCTTATTGCCTGCTCGCAGAATGGAATGGAGCTCCAACGTCAATTCTCCGCCAGTTGGCAAACGCTGCCATGATTGGGTGCCACAAAACATGTTTCTCTAACACTACTATATTGTTTCCTGCAGCATTAATCAACCCTATCATGAATTATCTTTGTGGAGGGCGTTACATTAAAATGCTTTCTCTATACTATACACATGAGAAAACTTCTTTTTCAACATCATCCCCAAAATCTCATTTGGGGGGGGGGCATTAAAATACTTTCACATTACTTACATGTACAAGAGATTGAAATGAATTGGTATCCATAGTAAAAAAATGGTAATACAACATTCTTTCAGTGCATTTTCCATGTGTATTTATCACAAATTAAAATAGATTCTGTTGGCACCTAAAAATCTAATGAAAAGACTTCATTCACCAAACATCTTAACAGAGTTCAAGAAGACCAATTTACATAGTTTAAAACAAAATAAAATATATTTAAATACATATGTATGAAGGGGGGGAAATTCCACGCAACATGTTATATTACAAAGAATTGACTGGAAAAGCATTTTCTACACTGGATTATAATCCAAGAACCCACCATTAGATGAAAATACTAAAACAAGTTGAAGTCTGTGTTGTACAAAACACACACTAGTCCTCTGATACCCCTACCAAAGCAAATATCAAAATTCACTAGTCCATCAGGCAGAGGGGATGAAAAATAATGCAAGCATTTGTTTGGGGGCACTTGTTTTACACTATACTCATTTCTACATTATTAAATAGTATTCACCAGAGGGCCCAAGGTCTAATTCACTCAAACTAAAGAGAATTTGTTTTATTAAAAAATAACTTCTTTATTTATTTATTTATTATTATTATTATTTTAGAAATAGACATATAAACTGAACAGCTTCACATGGTAAAATGAAATACACACAATTATTTAAATGGAATAATACCAGATATAGGCACATACAAATGTAACCAAATGAAAGGTTGTCTACATCTAGTAAGTCTTGCATCCTATTTCTGTGGCATCACAAAGATAAATATTCAACACACACTACTGTACACAACAGTCTAATTGCTTGAATATTTATTGCTTACAACTACTATGTCTCAAGTACAGGCAGGTCAATGTTTCAAGATATAACCCAACTTGTTCTTCAAATTTAATTCACAGTTGCTAATTTCATCAGAAAATTGCTACTTCTGTTGTACTTTGAAGTTTCATCCAGTGATAATTTCATTTTACAAAGCTTGTCCTTTTATAACATGATAGATGATACAGCTGAAATGCAGAACATGATTAATTTTAATTTTGTATTGCACTTGCAATGAATACAAAACATAACAACAAAAAAGAGAAGATTTTTACCAATGGTCTGCAAACAATGTTACTAGAATTCCGTAGAAAGAAGCAGCTGACATGAAAGAATGCAAGAAGAATTAAAGAAAAAACAAAGTTCAAAGGAAAGAAACAGTAATAAAACTACGATAAAAGAAAACGGACAATTATATAATTGCCAAATCAAGAACTAATTCTACAGTTTTGAAACATATCAATTAAATAAATTGTTCTCAAGTGCTTTATTTTTCACTATTTTACTTTCAGACTACACATCTTCACATAATTTGGCGACTCTGTTATACACCACCTAAATTTGTGATGCATTTCAAGAAAACAAGATTTTCTTTCTTTCTTTTTTCATTTTTTTAAGACTTGATGAAGAATGAGAAATATAAGCATAATAAAGACAGCATACTCAAAATGCTTAGAATGAATTTTAAGCAAGAATTGAATTATCTTACATCATTTTACAATATATGTATACAGCGCAAAGCACAGCCACTGTGCAATACTCAAACAAATAATAAATAAATGAGAAAACTTTCAACAGATATTGAAATCCTGTCAAACACAAGAAAATTAACTCAGAAGAAATATTTGAATTGAAAAGTAATTATCCTAAAGACTATAGCAATACAGCAACAATGCACTTTTCAAAATACCAAAAAACAAAAACACCCTATTTTTAGTATAGTTGATTATTTTGTACAAAGTACAGAATGAAAAGCACAATAGTATTCAATGCTTTTCTTTTAGCTGAAATTTCGCACAGCAACAATCATTTATAAAATTTTCAGGTAAACTTCCTTTCACAGTAGTTTAACTAGGATCTAAAAATCATTTTTATCATCGGCCAAAGAAATCACTATTTTTTCGAGGAACATTACTACTTTTTTTTCTTTTAAGAGAACGTCCTCGTCCACTTGTTACACCAGTACTTGCACTGACACTTCCATTTCCACCTGCACCTGGGCTTGGTATTGTTCCTTGTTGATGGTGGTGGTGATGGTGATGGTGGTGATGAAGGTGGTGGTGTTGATGTTGATACGAGGGACGTGGTGTCTGATGAGAAACTAAAATTGAAAGAACACAAGAAGAAATTTAGAAAAATGTCTGCAAAAAACAACAACAACATAACATTTCAAATCAGCTGGTAGACATATTTTGTGGGAAAGTAAATTTGGAGAGTTTGTTTAAATCAATACAATTTTTCCTAAATTTTATCACAAGTAAATTACACTATATTCATACGTAAATAATTAGTACATCAGTACTAAAGCTCAGAAAAGAACGGCCAGTGCATTTATAAGAACACAAACAGAAAATGTGCTCTTACACAAGGTACAAAGTACAAGTACAAGGTACAAAGAATGTAGCAAATATATACACAAAGATAAGTTTCTTTTCTAGTTTTTTGAAGGTAAATTCCTTTCAGCATGAAAGGGAACAACGTCACAAGAAGCCCAAATGCGAAGCAATTCAAAACACCAGGAATTTCTCATGGAGAAAGGCAATGTGTTGCATGTGCAGGAAGACTAGGAAGGACTTAACCCTTGTGGTGAAAGCGTATATCCTAAGAACTGGCAGCTTATTGGCCCACTTGAACTCCAATGCCATCACGCAATCAATGGGAAAACCTTTTAAGGCATTTTTGGCCAAAAGCCACCAAGCTCATGTGTCATGTCAATGTCATCTACACTTACTTACACTTAAGTGTATACGATGTTATGCAGTACATATATCCACATCATTAGTGGCTGAAAAAGTCGAGATAAATTCCATCATTCATCGAGTGAAGTCGCTTGAGTTCAGGTGGGTGGATTACCTAATGTCATTTTTTGTACATACCCCCCCCCCCACCTCCATGCCTCATACACTGAGTTGCGTCTCCTCTTAAGTCTTCATGGTTGTATGTAAATGTACGGCAGTGTCAATCTAGCCAAATGTTTCATTCTTCACACAAAAACTTATTGTTTCAACATCACCAGGGGGCAGTGAAAGAGATACCGCAAAACACTGATTTTGACTTCTTTAGAATAATTAAGTATGCTTCGCCATATAGTTTCAAAATAAGTATTGTTTATTGGCAGCCTTGACCTCCATATTAGAAGAGATAATGATATTTTACGAATGAGAAGGATGCCCCGGACCAGGAAAATGCCCTGAACTCAATGTAATGAAAAAAAAAATATTTAATTTACAACTAAACTAATTTAGTTATTGTTTCTCTCGCCATTCATAGACATTGCCATGTAAATGTCTACAGAATCTTAGAAACAAGACATTAAAACCTATTTTGTTTCCTACAAATAAACAGGCAAAAATAGGAGCTCACACAAAGACAAAAGAATTCAAGAAATATACCCCAGGTGGTGTTCCACAATATAGAAAAATACAATTAGAATTATAACTCCTATAACTCTCATACTAACCAATGTTGCAATATAACGCATAAATGCAAATTACTTTTGGAATTATGGGAATAAATATATGTTGTGCTCTTTGTTGTAGCTACAGCACCTACTTGCAAGCAATCCCACATACTATTCTGTGCATTAAACTGACTTATGTCAGTATTAATAAAAGTCATGAACACCACTCACTCCTAATCAATAGTGGTAGGTTCTAATCGCTAATAACAGAAATAACTAGTTGTATTAATACTGATTGGGGCAGCTTCAGAGAATACATTCAATTTTAAAATTTCAACAAGCACATATTAACAAAAATAAAACTTACCTCTGAGTTTTGAAAAATTCTTGTCAGTTTTTTTTCTCTGCTTCTTAATCAGTTTAATTTTGAAAAATAATTTTAGAAAATTGTCAAAATTAACTATATTTAAAATTTTGTGACCTATCAACCTTTTAAAAATATTTACATTAATACCACCAGATACATGAACATTCAATTCAAGTTACAACCTTATGTAATTCAAAAGATAGTCAACACCTTCATTATATCTCCAAACCAAACAAAGTACTAGTCTCGAATTAAAAGTGCTCTTCATTTTGTTCTCGGAATGAACTCAATTTAAAGGAAAAGATAAGTTTATGTTGTTGAGAGATGATCACAAATGGCATTCCATGTTCTACGTACATTCTCTTTGTTATGTTGCAGAAAACTCACACAGAGCCTATGCATCATTTCCGTTTTTTATTTATGAACTTCAGACAAACATTTAATGTTCATTGATGTTGGTATTTATTTTTGCTTTGCACTTGCAGGTACATTTTCAAAAATTCAAATACCTTGAGATGCTGAGAATCTCCTTTGCTTCACCCAGCTGCGATGCACGGACGGTACCCGAGGCAGAACTTGAGGTTCAAATGTAGGTGCAGGTGATGGTCCTACAGAAACTATATTAGGTGGATTTGATCCGCGACTACTTTCTGAATCCTAACAGCATGAAAATTAAAACAAATAGTTAGAAGAACATAAATATTTTATATAATCATAATTAGAAGCTAATAAGGTATACACACAGTATCACTGCAGTTTGAACTTCCTGGAGCAGATTCTAATGTGGATGCTTCACTACCACTTGAAGAAGATAGAGAATCTTCATCAGATCGATGATGAGTTACCACAGCAGCATATGACTGCTGCTGCACATCATCAGATTTTACACTCAATGGATCAACAGGAAAGGTCTCACGAATCCATGCTCGATATTCAATAACATCATCTGTTACTCTTATTATCCTACCTAAGATACTGCAAAAACAAACATCATCAAAGTTACACATTCAACAATATTCAAACAATTACCTCCCCCCTCCAATTTGTCTCACAAATATTTCTTTTCCACGTTATGCAATGACCTGAAAATGTCATTACACAAAAAGAGAATTTTTGAAGGGAATATTTTGAGATGTGTATTCATAAAACTAACTTCAGACAATACATGTAAATAAATATGTGGTATTTTAAGGATAGTGAAATACCAGTGTAAGAAAATAGAAGAACCTTGGTAATTATTTTATAATAGTTAAATCCTGTTCTAGTGAAGAAAGCTAATTCTTAAGAATGTCAACTTTCATTTCAGGATCTACATTACTTGGACATGATTTTACAAATGAAAAATTTTAAAATTTATTGGATGAGCAGAATATGAAATAATTAAACCACAGGGCTTTGTAAATGTTAACCAATTTTTTTTTTAAAATTGGAATTAACAATTATTTTGGGGTCTCCTCCCTCATTGTAAAGAATGTGAAGAAATTGGCTCACTTCTGCAAGAATTTGGTAAACAACAATAAGGGCCAGTGAGCAGAACAGTGTTGAATTTATAACTTTAATCTTTTAAGGTATGTTGAGGCTTCACTCCAGATCTCCAATTTCATGATACGTATCTATGAAATTAACATACAATGAATGTTAATTTCAAATTATGCCAAAATACTTTAATTAAAATCGACAATCTCATATGAACACCACTTGTTCCCCCAACATAATCTACACTTTAGTTCACCTATCTTTCATATATATCTTGTTGATTCATTATGATAAGGATAAGAACTTCAATTTTTTTTAATGTATTTTGATGGACACGATTGGATATCAAGTGATTCAATCAAAATATGAAATTTTAACATTCACTAGTGGTTTAAAAATATGAAGAAGAGAAAAGGTTCTCCATAAACAAGCTACAATACATAGTAGTTGCATGGAGCAGCATGCCTTATTTATAGAAAGATCTGCATAACTCCACCAATCACATTCATAACTTGGAAATGGTTCCTGTGGTACAACCATTTGAAATATATTAACATATAAAATAAGAAAAATATTTATTTTAAGCTCAATGAATTAAAATTATATTTTGAATGAAATACAGATTAAAACTTTGTTAAAATTTTAATTCAATATAGGGAAAGTATTAATCTCAATAAAATGAATTATTGTTTTACATATACCATTCATGCAAATTTCCAAGACCGTGAAAATAATTTTGTTTCCATTGGCTGAACCTGAAATTTTCATTCCATTGGCACTTGAATTTGAATGAAAACAATATTCCACTGAATTACAAAATCTTAACCCAAAAGGTTTGAAAAAATTGTCAAAAAATACTTTCTCCAAAGAAAACATGCTATTTCTGTTTGGTACAGCAACAATCCCCTCTACAATAATCAGGGTGACTGCCAATAACCAAATTTATTTGTGTGTAGTTTCCTGGAGTTACTATATTTTTCCTTGTGTTACATGTACCACTGCAGTACTTATATAATTCACTATTTTATTATAACTATAATTTCATATAAATAAAGAATTCTTGTATTTCAAGTTTTATGCATATACATAT